CTATACCCGGAGGTGACCTTGGGGAACGCTTTTAGTTCAAAGTTTAAAGGGTATCACAAAACACCAGTCTCCAGGCTTCCTCTAGTCTTATTAGCCCAGTAGTAAATCTGGACTTTTAAAAGAACCTGAGTGTTGTCCAGCCTACTTTTAATGTCTGTATAGGAATTTTATGTCTAGCTTATGAAGTAGGACTGTGGGAGGCAGGAGGAGAGAATGAAGTGAAGACTGGGGGAGTTAGGGAAAGACTGAGCTCAGGACACAGCGGTGCGGATTCTGGAGGATTCTGGGGAGGGGGCCTGAGTCGCCAGGCTTCCTGAGGGTAGAAACTGGCTGAGCCCAGCGCTGGAGGCAGCTGTGGGTGTCTGTGGAATCAGCAAGATTACATCTGTTTTGAGCCAACCTGGTTCAGAACTCACCAAGCAACAGCACAGATGGTTCCTATGGAACAGGATGTCCCTTTGTCTTACTTATTCAAGAACAGATTATGTCTTTGAAAACACCTAAAATTGCAATATAGGCTCCTGATTGATTCTTTCAGTCTTTGGGAAGGAGAGCCATTGCTTTAAGGCAGTGTCTTTCAAACTGTGGTTGTGACCCATTAGTGCAATGAAATCAGTTTAATTTCTCTTTGACCAGCATTTCTTAGTGGCACTCTGAGTGCATCTCACTTCGTTTTGTGAAGCCCCTTATTTCAGTTGTATGTGTCCATGTGTGCCTGTGTGTACTGGAAAAGTGCTTCTTACAGTGAATTGAGCTAAAGTAACAAAAAGGCACTCGTTTAAACAACTTTAAGAAGAAAAAAGGGGATTATGGTGTGTAATTAGAATAGTGAACGAGCACATACTGCCTTATTTTTTATAGGTGGCATACGTGCATGTATACAAGTACATATATTATGTATGTACAAATACGGGTATGAATATATGAGTGTGTGAGTGCTCACTATCCTTAGATGGTTGGTTGAGTGTACAGTGTGCATGTGTGCACACATGTGCATGTGAATATGTATGAGTGATATCTGATTGTGTGTGATAGCTGATTCTGTGCTGAGAAAGCATATACTCTTTCAGAAAATGAAGCAACCCTATAATCAGATATTGTTGTTGTGTGTTGTTGAGTTGGAACCGACCCACAGCTGATCCTCCAGTGGGTTTTCAGAGGGAGTACATCTTACAGGAGGAGATTGCCCATCTTCTGTGGAGCAGCTGGTAGATCTGAACTGTGTGCCTTTGAGATTGCAGCACAACTTCTTATTCTGAGGCCACCAGAGCTCCCTATACATTTAGTAGTTTCTTTAAAGAGATGGTGCTTAAAAGGAGAATTTTAAAATGAGTTTGCGTACAGCCCCACACCAGGACTCTTGAGTGGCAAGAGATATATCCTCTTACCATTGACTTAAAATTTAAATAAACCCTTATAAATATTTCTAGGCCACAATACCTTTGCCTAAGCACAAGCTTTGTAACAGTAGCATAATTTCACTTGACTTATAATATGAAGTGCAAACCAAGCTAGTTATCAAGCCAGATTCTTAGGACACATTTTAAGATATTTCTTTTCCTGACGGGTTCCTAGGGAGCTCTGGTGGTTTAATGGTAAGGGATTGCACTGATAACTTAAAGGCACATGGTTTGAGTCGATCACCTGCTCTGAGGGAGAAAGATGGACAATTTCCTTCTAGGATTTACTGTCACTAAAATCCCCGCTGGAGGGTCAGTTATGATTTGGTTCTCAATTAACAGTACATAGCAAACAACAGCAGTGGGTTCCTAGAAAATCACCAATACGGCCTTAGGGTTTCAAACAAAATGATAGATGTTTCTAGCTGAGCTCTTCCAGGAGGCCTGTAAAGTATTTCAGGTGGTGAGAGCACATGTGGAAACAACACAACTATAGCTTGGGGTGAGGGAGAAACATCCAAGTCAAAAGATGATGCATCATGACATTCAGACACTCTGAGGCATTATCATTTATTAATGGAACATTTATTACTATTTGTAAGTGCATACTGTGATATATATGTGTATGTAAAAAGACAGTAATGTGGAATGACAGGCTTCTTCTTCACCAGAGACTCTCTGCTGCCCTGGAGCGGTGGGTTGAGGTCGTGTGCTCTGCGAGGGTGGCTCACCTCTGTCGTCTCCAGCACAAAGCAGGCCTTGGGTTCTAAGATTGTGTTCCCGCCATGTGTTTGTAAGCACACATTATTGGACACAGGAAGCCCGCATTTTCATTCTTTCCAAGGAAATGCAGAGAACCACCGCTGTATTAAACGTGAGCAAAAGCACTTCGAATGAATTGTCAGGTAACTCCAACAGGGTGCCTGAAAATGAATCCACACCAGAGGCACCGGCCACTCCAAATCTCGATGAAAAAAACTAGGGCAAGATAAAAATGGAGTCTGAAGCTGCTCACCATCACCCCCTTCCTACATGAGTTGACGGAATACTTCTTGATTTGGAAGCAGTCCTCCTGAAATGGACACGTTAGTACAATTGAAAAATATTATGTCTACCTTCTCACGTCCTCTGAGACTTTGCTAGGCTGGGGATTGCTAATTCTTCCAAAACCCGGGTTTGTGATACTCACTATTTGTTCAGCAGGAACCTACAAAGTTTCTTACTTGGCTAAAAGAAAGAAATGCACATAAATATAATGCCCTGGGAGAGGATACAGCAGTAGATCAGACAGACAAGGTCCCATGGGCCCCAGAACCCAGCACAGTGCCTGACATGCAGCAGGTCTGGAATCAATCCTCATTTAGTGGTAATTGGAGGAAGACTGTCAAGATCACAGTCGTTTTCTACTACTCTATGCCCTGGGTCTCCGAAACCACGCACTTCCATCTCATGTGTCAGCAATGACATTTACTTGCTGTTGGCCAATGATATACTTGAATTTGATTCATCACAATAAAAATTATGGCCCATTATATGTAAATCTTGGATTTCCTATCCGGGTACCTTTTCCTGGTCATATCCTTTTAGTAAAGTGATGTTAAGCCAGACTGCAATATAATCCACTCACCAGCAAAGATTTACTAAAATAAAACAGAATAGTCTTTTCTTAGTTACAAACGACCAAAAACTCAAAAAGGCTAGATATCATTGTGTGATTTAAATGCATAATGATATCATTTGCCATAATGTTCACTCACTTAGATAAATTCCTCAGATTGCACTAGCACGCTCAGTTTGCACACGCTGCCATCTTTCTTCCATTCTAAATTCTACAGTTCAATGATTAAGGGACTGTTTGTAAATTAATAATTGCTTCAGCTCCTTATAAAACACAAGCCAATCCTCTCACCAGTTTTTATCCACAGTTAATACATCATTGCTTAAGCATTCCCACTTTCAAAGGAAATTCTGTAACAGTCTGATGAAAAACAAAGAAAGATCTCATTTTATAGGTAAATGGTATATACATACTAGATAATTGATTAGCTATGGTATCATATTATTATCACTCTCTGTAGCTGAATGTTAATAAATCTAACCACATTGGAGCTATATTTTAAAAATATGATTAAAACACAGTCTCAAGATGAATTTTAATAGCTTATTAAAGGCTTTCCGTATCATCAGTAGCATAAGTCAAAGATGAATGGTATTTCTAAATTGCTAGCCACTTATGTCAGGCTTACTTGGAGTATGAAGCATACTTAAACAAGTAATTGTAACACAAACATGGTCTTTGGGGAAAAGCTGTGTCTGAGAGTGTAGCATTTAAAAAGTCTGCTTTTGTCTATCTCCTACATGGGCATTTCACAGGCATTGGGTCAAGGCGACTTAAAACCATGCTTCTCAGTGACACATTAACTATTGGAGATGTTGCCTGAAACACTTGGGCAGGTGCATAGGGTGGTCATTTTTAACGAGAGGATTGAGGCAAGCTGAGGGTTGAGGTTTGAGCCACCTTCGTTTGAGTAACCTTCTTGGGGATCCTACCACCTACTACCTCTGGGAGTGCAAATAGTTAACCAGCTTAGCTGCTAGTGGAAAGATTACCCCAGAGGCATCTCAGAAGAAAGGCCTGGTTATTGCTGAAAGCACAGCCATTGCAAGCCCTCGGGAGCACAGTCCTCTGACACACATGGGCCACCATGAGGTGGAGTTGGCATCAACAGCAGCTTGCACTGTTAGTTAAAGTTTGATGGAGCGTTGTAGCAACATCCCTGAAAGCTTGTTAGAAGTACCAAAACTCCACCCAGACCCACTGCATCGGGAACTATATTTAAACCAGATCCCAGAGTTGGGAGAGAATTGCCCTAAGATCTCAAAGCCCTGACTCACCATGCCTAGACATAGCCCATGGTGCTGCTTTCTTTTTGCTTCTAAAATCTTAGAGAAGGCTCACTTAGCCCTTCTACCAGTATTTCACTTCCTCTTTCATCCCACCCATGATATGTATAAGCATCGGACATCCCTGCTGTCATCAAGAAAGGGTTCTTGTGCTTTCCACCTGACAATGGCTTTTTGCTGCTGAATGACCTTAGGAAAGTCAAGGAGATACCAGAATTCCCACGGGGATGATTTTTCTGTTTTCCTGTGGCTGGGCCTCCTGCCCTAACCAGTCACCAAAACCCAATCTCCCCTTCTCATTTTCAATCCCTTTTTCTTCCCTGTTCCTACTCTTGGAAAGCTGCCCTCTTCTAAGCTAGCAACAAGCTTCTCTGTGAATATTTGTGGGCTATCGAAAGGATGGAAGGAAGTCAGGCCAGATGTTTGGGGGAACAGCAGAGAGTGTTCACTCAGTGGAGGGAGACTGTGCTCGGTCTTCAGTGACTCACTTGGCAGACCCCTCCACACACTTCATTTGGCCCCACCTTTGCATGGAGAGGCTCAGTCTTGTCGACTGCCCAGAGCAACCGGACATCCAAATCCAGACCCAGACTTGGTCTGCCAGTTGGCCCCTGAAAGCAATTTGGTCCCCTCTCTTCCAAACACTGCTGGGGTAAAGGGCTGTGCAAAATAGTGAGCTGGGCATTTAGGAGCACATTGCTTACAAATTCAGGCTCGGTGGGCCAAGGGTTAGTGCAGCCAATGGTCAAGGGAACATTCTGGGGGTCAGTGGGACGAGGATCCCGTGAGACTCCTCTGGAGTGGTCAGCACCCTGAACAGACTTCCTTAATCAGAGGAGACTGGCAGGGGGAGGAACAAGATGGCCTTCTGGCCATAGTGAGTCCGAGGACCACGCTTGCAGCTTCCATTCTTCTTGAGACCAACGAACCAATTCTTCTCCGCGTGCTTCTTGGAAACGTAGGTGTTGTAATGGTTTTCCTCCAGCCTTTCCAGGAACAGGCATTCTTCGTTTGGTGACTGCTATACAGAGAAAACCAAAAGAGGGGCATTAGTGAGTGGTTTTAAAAGGGGCTCCTTGGTTTACTAGCTATGTGACCTGGGGCAAATTACTGAGGCTCGGATTCCTCTTCAGGAATAATGAAAGAGAAATGATTCTTGGGAGAATCGTGATGATGTCCTAGACCAGTGCCCAGAAGACAGTGAGCCTTCAAGACATGAACAGTTACTGTCAGCTCCCTCCCCTCGTGCTGTTCTCAGGATTCTTGGGTCTCCTTTGGGAGCATCTGCTTAGCCATTAGCACATTGAGAGCAGGGTTGGGGCCTCTGTCTCTGTAGAGATGTTGCACACAGGCGTGACCCCATGAGAAAGATTAAAAGACAGTTAAAATCAGACTGTAAGGCAATAGCTAGCTGTATCTTATTTTGGAACTTGAAAAAGAAGTGAAAAACTACTTTTTCATTCCAGTGATGTTCACTCAGAACAGCAGGCTTTTGCCTCCAGGCCTGAGGAACACACATTCTTGCACACAATTTATCATTAGCATGAAACTGATCCTGGGACTTAAATGAGGTTCTTGTTTTTAAATGAAAATACTCATTGCCATCAAGTTGGAACCTACTCAGAGCTGACCTCCAGAGGATTTTCAGAGGCTCTAAATCAAACAGGAGGAGATTGCGCATCTTTCTCCCTCAGAGCAGTGGGTGGGTTTGAACTGCTCACTTTTGGATTGGTAGCACAACTTTATACTCCCTGTTGTTGTTGTGTACTGTTGAGTGAGAACCAACACATAGCTGACCCTCCAGTGGGATTTTAGAGGCAGTTAATCGCACGGAAGGAGATTGCCCATCCTTCTTCCATAAAGCAGCTGGTGGATTTGAATCACATCACATACCTTTGGGATTGCAGTGCAGCTTTTTACCACTAGGCATATTTATTTATTTCTTTAACTACTTGTGATAAAAAAATCACAACTTTACTTACATTTTAAAAAAGAAAAGGTCAAGGAAGCCCCCACATGGTTAACTGTTAGCAGTTGGCTGATAGCCTTTGCCTAATCTCTTTATGTGCACACAGGTTGAGTGTCATAGTAAGACTATGTGGATCTAACTGATGATAACGTCATAGCATGCTTTATCCACTATTTCAGAGATGAATGAAAGTGTGAAAAAGTGTGCAAGCTCACTAGCAAGACAAATCAAAATTAGGACAAAAATAATTTCTATGTTTTCTTTAATAGCTCCAAAGCTTGACAACTAACAGAGATCTTAATAAGGTTTAGGAATCCTTGTAATGATGAGAATTTGGGAAATAAGCAATGCTGATGAAATAAATTGGTGCAAACTTTCTGAAGGTAGCTGGGTATCAAAACTTAAAATATGCCCTTAGGAGATCTTTGAGTAAGAGCAAAAACAAGTTTTTGATGATAGTCTTTGAAGCTTTGGATAAAACAGCAAAGGCTTTCCATTAACAGAAATACTTCTAACAGGTAATTGATGGTGTGGATAGCACGCATACAATAAGGTCCATGCAGCTGTATTTATTAAGCTAGAAGGGTAGCCATGACACAGTGAATCATTCAGTTATTTAAAAATTCTCTGCCAACCACTACTTCGCTTACATTAGAGGGAGGGATGAACCTTGATTATTGGAATTTTACAAGATTTTAGAATGCAGTATCTTTAGATTAATTCAAATATAAAGCCAGGTTTAACTGGAGGTCACTGTTGTCATCCAGCAGCTGACATGAGATGGCTTAGGTCCTATTCCCAGGTCATGTGACCTCTGCATTATCCCCTCACCCAGACAGTATAGTAATGGCCTTTGTGGTGATTTCCAGCCATACTATTCGTTGTCCTCTGGTTATTTGTGGGAAGGTTTGTCCCATTAGAATGTGTTACTGAGGGGCAGGATGAAGCCAGTTGGCTTAGGGTCTCCCACCATGTTTAGCATGAAGCCTTGAAAAGAATAAGTGCTTACCAAGCTGCATGTTGAATTTTAATAGGATTCCTGTGATAATAAAAAAGACTCATAGAAGTTCAGTTTTTAATAGTAAGTCACTATGTAACAGGAAGTAGCCTGCTTCTTATTCATTTATAGTCTAGTGAAGTGACAACTGGATAAGACACATTAGATCATTTTGGGACAAGATGGGATATAAATATAATATTTAATTGGATGACTCTGCTGTAGCTGGAGAAGCCGTGCAGATGGCAGTGTTTGATGCACATTGTCGGCGTGGGTACGGGCAGTTTTGGACCTGTGTGGGTTGCCCACTCCTCCCCCTGTGACGCCCCTCAGTGGGTGTCAGACCTGAATGCAGTGACGGAGGTGAGGACGGCCACGCTCCCCACCTGATGTCTCTGATACACGACAGCAGTTGACACACACGAATGGCTGAGTCATAGTCTGAGTCAGCAGGCCACAGTGGAGGGCGCTCAGTCTCTCAGCCAGGATCCGTCAGCACTCGTTTTGTGCTGAGGGCAAGAGGACTAACTATTGACTCATGGCTATTGTTTTAATGGCTTTTATTTTTTGTTTTGCACTCTTCCCTGCCCTGCAATTACATAAGTGACATGTATCCATTGGAGAAAGTTTGGGAAACGCAGGAAAGCATTCAAGTATTATTAAAAGATCTTGTCTACCAGTGTCAGAAAGAAATAGATTAATATTTTGGCATATAGACTTTTAAACTTACTTTTAAAAGGATATATCCTTTCTATGCACACACACAAATATAGAGTTTGAAGGAAGATGAAAAATTAATATGAAAAATTGGTTAAAAGCAGGAGGCAGAATTTTGAGATATCCTAGAATTTATCTGTATCAGTAGGGAATATATAAGAGTTATTATGTATAGTATATTACGATCACTTTGAATATTTGAAATGAATTGCAGTTATAGCCAGAATTCCGGTGGGAGAAAAGGATTCTGGTATATAAAGTTCTCAATGTTCTTGTATAAGGAGAAATGGGATAATAAATATTGAAACGGATCTGGGTGGGTGGGAGCCATAAAAATATAACATATAACCTAAGAAACAATGAAGGAAAAGTTTTACAAACCAGATATTGGTGTTATGGCGACCACCGATTGTGTGTCTCTCATGTGTGCATGGGTAGATGTGTTCTGTGTGTTGCTTCAATGACTTTCCTGAGCTCCGTACACCAACTACTACAGCATACCAACAACTGCGCAGATGGCACAGGACCATTTGTGCTCCATTCTGTTTTACACGGGGCCACTCTGAGTCAGAGGCAGCTAGGTCCATGGCAACTAACAACAACTGGCTCTGTATGGGGTAGTTGCTGTCCATTAAGTCTGGTGCTGTCAAGTTAATTCCATCTCAGCAGATAGGGCAGGATAGGGCTGCCTGAAAGGGTTTCCAGGGAGCTCACTTTTACAGAAACAGGTTGAAACATTCTTTTAGTGGGTACTAACTCTCATCATCTGGTCAGCCGATGAGCATTTAACCACCATGCCAACATGCTCCTTTTCTACCTCACATAGGCAGGCCCAGAGTGGACTAGTTGCCATCCTGGTTGGAACTTGAGATTAAATAACAATGAGTCTGAATTTACTGATTGACTGCTGAGTGGGTTGAATGATTTTATTATCAACTTGAAGAATCAGCTTCAAAAATATTCTGTTTGCTCTGTAGCCGTCATTGGCTAGCTGCCAGTCTCTTAATGTTGCCCTAGTTGATTTATATTTCAAGACAGTATGCTAGAGGCTACTTATTACTCTCATGACTTTCTCTCCTGGCTTTTAGCTGGAAGCATAAATGTATTCAAATCTTGGGTTTTGGTTGAGATTACAGCTTCATAGAGGGTTTCCTATGCCACTGTTATTTGACAATTAAAAAATTATATATGTCTAGATATGTTATTGTCCAGCTCTCAGGTGCATAGCAAGCAATGGGAATGACCATGGCCTGACTCACCTTAGTCCTTAAATTGACATCATTACTTCTCAATAATTTGGAGGAATATCTAACTACAGACTTTTCCAGTGCAATTAAGAGTTCTGCAATTCCCATTTTTCCCAATGTTAGCCATAACTTGTTATGATCCACACAGTCAAATGCCTTTGCATAGTCAATAAAGTCTTTCAGATCACTGGCTATGCATCTAAGAGCCAGACAATAAATAAGGATGACAGAAGATTTTTTTTTGAGCTATAGTATTAGAAAAGAGTACTGAACATCCCATGGATTGCTAAAAGAACAAACAAATATGTCTTGGAAAGGGTGCAGCCAGAGTGCTCTTTGGCAGCAAGGATGATGAGTCTTCACCTCACATACTTTGGGCATTTTGCTAGGAGGGGCCATTCCTTGGAGAGAGGCATGATGGTCAGAAAGGTAGAGTTCAGCGAAGGAGTGGAAGACCCTCAGCCAGATGGATTGACACAGTGACTGCTGCAATGAGCTTTAATGTGTCAGGAGGTGTGAGGATGGCACAGGATAGGACAGGGTTCAGATCTGCTGTTCTTAAGGTCACTATGGGCTATATTAGACTTGACATCACCTAATAACAATATTTTTGTTAATTTTTACAGTTATTGAGATATAGAGCAAAGCATATACCAATTTAACAGTTATGATATGTATACTTCAGCAACATTGATTATATTCTTTGAGTTGTATACCCATTCTCACTTTTCTGAGTCATTCTCCCCATTAATATAACTGTTATGATCACTAAGGCTCCTATTTAATCTTTGAGTTGTTGTTGTCACTGTGATCCCATATAGATAGTTATTAAAAGAGCATAATGCTCAAGAGAGATAGTCTTTAAAAATAAGCTAAATTATTATTTGGTTTTAAGAAGACTTCAAAGGATATTTTTTGCTAAATTTTAAAGATGATCTCAGGGCAACAGTTCCAACCTCCATGGCTTTGGAAGATCTGAAGCCTGTGAGAATTTAAAATTCTGTTCTGCATTTTCACCCTTTTGATCAATGTACTACTATAAAATTCTTATCACAATGTCCAGCAATGGTAGCTGGGCACCCTCCAATTCTAGTCTCATGGCAAAGGGAGCAGTTAGTTGTTCCTGGAGGCAATTAGCCACACATCCCATATTCTCCTTTCACTCCTGATTCTCCTTCTTCTGTTGCTCTGTTGTTGTTCTGTGCTGTTGTGTATGACTCATAGCAACCCTATGAACAATGGATCTGAGGCCTGCCTTATCCTGTGCCATCCTCACTGTCTACCATTTTGTAGACATCGTAATTTTTAAAAAAAGAAAGGGTTTAACTTAGAACTATGTATTATAGTCAAGACTTCATTATAGCTGTTAGGACAGAGAGAAAGGATAATTGATATTAAAAAAATAATATCAAGCCTGAGGCCATTGATTGTCTAGATAAACCACTTAGAAGACATAATAAATGCTCTCTCTCTCACAGACCTGTATATTGGGAGGACCTGTATAAAGTATTAACTGTGTGAAAGCAAGGTCAGAAGATGTTTTTAGATACAAAATAAATGATGATTTTTACAAAATAAATGATCAAACCCACAACTTCTCCAGGACAGAGTATGGCTCATCCATAAAAGACATTTGTTGAATTAAGGTATTAAAATTTTATCCTTTTAGGTGACTCTTCGAAAACAAAAGGATTTATTTTTCAAAATGTCGTGCATGACATATAAACTACTTAGTCCTTCAATTTTTGAGATAATTTAAAGATTCACTTATACTGACCTAGAGGTACTTTTTAAGCACCATGCTGCCCATCCCCTTAATCCCCCACCCCCTATCATCCAGTTGATTCTGATTCCTGGTGACCCCACATTGAGTTAGACTGCCTTTTCTTTCTCTCACAGAGCAGCTGATGGGTTGGGACTGGCAACTTTTTGCTTGCAGCGTGACATGTATTCTACCACACCACCAGGACTCCTTTACAAGGCTAGAGTGCATTTGAAAACCTGCCTAGTGCCCCACCTCTGACAAAACATGAAAGACATGAATGTCTATACACGATTTCCCTAGATGCAGCAGAGTCATCCCTTCAGATATTATGCTTATCATTCATCTTAACCAAAATCATTAAAGTCTCTTTTCGTTGTTGCTGTTAGGTGATGTGAAGTCAATTTAACTCTTGGCAATCCCACGTGACAGAGTAGAATGGCCCCATAGGGTTTTCTTGGGTGTAATTTTGGGGGGAGCAGTTTGTCAGGTGTTTGTCTGGAGGAACTGCTGGCTGAATTCAAACTGCCCAACCCTTCAGTCAGCATCCAAGTGCTTAGCCATTGTGCTATCACTCAGGGTTGGTTGGTTTGGGTCTTTTCCCCCCTTCTAGACTATAAATGGACACAGTGATTGCAACAGTGAGCTCGAGCATTACAGAGATCAGGAGGATAGTGAAGAATGGGTCAAAATTCCGTTCTGTTGTTTACAGTCTCACTACGAATCACAGTCAACTTGACAGCACCTAACTGAACATCCCATGGAACAAATATGTCTTGGAGAAGGTGAAGCCAGAGTGCTTACTGGAAGCAAAGATGGTAAAGTTTCGGCTCCCATACTTCAGACGTGTTGTTAGGAGAGGCTATTTCTTAGAAAGGGGAATTATGCGCAGAAAGGTGGAGCATCAGCAAAAGAGGAAGATTTTCAACCAGATGGTCTGAAATAGTGACAGCTGCAACGGGCTGTAGTGTGTCAGGAAGTGTGAGGATGGCACAGGATCTGGCAGGGTTCAGGTCTGTGGTTCATAAGGTCGTTATGGGTCATACTCAACTCTATGGCTCCTAATAGCAACAACTGAATAGATGAATATAGCACAAGATACTAGGGAGCTCTTGTAGCTTACTTATAAGGAGCTGTGCTGCCAACTCAAAGGCACATGGTTCAAATCCACCAGCTGCTCCACAGGGAAAAAATGAGTAATCTCCTTCTGCACGATTTACTATCTCCGAAAACCTCTTGGAAAAGACAGCTTTGAGGAGGTTCTGACTCCATGGTACTCAAGAACAATATAATTGTGTTTCACTTGGGTACACTAAAAAGATGTTTGTCTCAAATGTAAGCTGCATGAGGGGTAGATCTAGTCAACATTACACTTCCTGCCCCGAGCACAGTACCTGGCACTTAGTAGATGCTCAAGACATGTTTTTAAAATGAATGAATGAAGTGGGATTAGACTCTCAGATGACAGATGAATTACTAAACTTCCTACCAAAGTTTCTTCTATGTGTGTGTGAGAATACATTTAAGTATTCTGAGAGAAGACCATAATAAACTCTTGAAAATATTTGTGTCTTACCGAGGGAAAAAATAACAAAGACTAATTGTTGCTTTACAATTTGCATCCCTCCATGTAAGGAGGTTTCTGGCAACCTCACCCCTTGGCCACGTCTGCAGTCAGGTCAGCCTCATACTTACGGAGCCGTATAAAAGCCCGTCGGTGTCCATGGCCAAGTACTGGCCGGTCTCGGTGCTCTTTATATACACCTCCCCCACACTTTCCGCACTGAGCTGCAGCTGAACTGAAATAAAAATAACACCAACAAAAGTAAATAAACACGAGGCTTTTGCCGATAGGAGCCGGCCGCCAGGACAGTTAGCCATGGGAAGTCATGCCCATTCCCTTCACAGACCCCATGAGGATGAACTTCCAACTGATCAAAACACAAAAATACAGATCCATTTTCTTTGCCCTCCAAAGTAAGCTGTCCTTTGGGAATGATGTTCTTGAAAGGGAAGAGGCAGATGGCCAGGTGTCCCTCCCCACCCTCCCTGCTGGTTATAAATGACCCTGTGCACCTCACACTGCCTCGTTCCTTTCTCCTTTTCTGTTAACCCAATCAGCTGCCATGGAGTTGACGCCAACTCACGGCGACCCTGTGTGGGTCACAGAGGAACTGTGTTCCGCAGATCACCAGGCCTTTCTTCCAAGGTGCCCGTGGTAGACTCAAAACCCTAACCTTTCAGTTAGCAGTCAAATGTGGTAACCATTTGCTGCACTCAAGGATTTCTGTTACCGAGAAAAATAAACCAACCAAACCCACAGAATACCCAAATCCACTGACATCAAGCCAATTCTAACTCATAGGAACCTTCTACTAGGTTTCCAAGGCTGTAAATCTTTATGGGCGGATGCTGCCAATAGTTCTGCCACAGAGTAGATAGTGGATTTGAACCACTGGCTTTTCAGTTAGTAGCATAACATGTGATATGCTATGCCTCTGGAAACTATGAATATGGAGAAACAATGAAAATTATACAAGTGTTCAAATCTTTCATTCATAGGGTTGCTATGAGTCATCTGCGGTTCGACAGCACTTAACAACATACAGAGAGCTCTTTTGGCCCAGTGGATAGAAAGTGATGCTACGAAGCCAAAGGTGGTGATTTTATCTGTGGCACTCAGGCCTGGTTTTAATTGTTTTTGGTCAAACCTTCTTCTAAGTGGTATAACACTAGTCTGTCCATTGCTGTACAGAGGTAACTCAGTTGCTGTGATGCTAAACACTGTGACACTGATGTGAAGTGTGTTAATGGTTACCCATGGTAGACAGTGTTTGGTGGAGCTCCCCGATTAAAACAAGCTTTGAAGCATGAATGTCATCCACTTCCGAAATATCTTGCTTCTGGAAACTCTATGAATGTGGAGAGACGATAAAAGTTTTACAAGTGTCAGGTCTTTCGTTCATAAGGTCACTATGAGTCACCTATGAATCAATGGCACTTAACAACAACAACAACCAGCGCTCTTTCTCTGTTGCCTAGAATATCCCAGGAGAAAATGGTGTTCACTCCCCTGGGCACCATCATCCTAGCCGTGTTAGGGAGGAGGCAGCCTGCCGCGTAATGAACTTGCTGGAGGAGACGGTGCCCATTTATAGTCTGGGCCTTCTGGCCACTGGAGAGATTCCTGTCAACAGACTTTTTCCCCCCCCCAAAATCTGAGTTTATTATTTTCCCAGACAGAAGAGATGACTAAGGAACTGAGATTAGTTGCTACACATGGAACTCAGGGACTTTGCTTACAATGAAGTCCAACCCACCTGCTGACTGTTGTGAGAACCCAGTTGGGGGCAGGCTTATGGGAAATCGCTGGCTTCTGGGATGAAGCCATTACCTGCCAACAAAGTGCTGAGGAGAGCAGCTCTCTGCGGGGGTGGCTTCGCTCCCGAGGGGACACCTGGAAATGTCTGGAGGTATTTTTTGTCATCACAACAGGGAAGGAGAGGGCAGTGATATTGAGTACACCCCAGGTTGCTACCAAACATCCTACAATGTGCAGGACAGCCCCTCTTTCACAAAGAAAGACTTTTCCAGCCTCAAATGTCAATAGTGCTGACACTGAGAAGCCTCAAGTTTACGGGCAAGGACTATTGTTACCCTGAGTTGCACTGTCTCCACAAACATCCACCAGCCTTCCCAAGTGCTGGATACATAATTAACGTTCCACTCCTATTTGGGCATTGTCCTATTTTGCTCATCCTTCCCATTTAGAAATCAGAAAATGTTCTGGATTCTTGGTGAATTTCTTTGGCCATCAGATTATTACAACGAACATAATCAGCAGCAGTGCATTCTGGACCCAGGACTGGTAACCACCCAGCAGTTTATTCTCCAGAGGCCAAGTCTTCTTTCTTCTCTGGTAAATGTCAGCCCTGTCAGAGGCGGGGGAGGCTGGGGCACGGGCTTTGGTTTGTAGACCCAGATTTCTCATTGCCTTTGTTTGTTTTATTGTTTATCTCATTTCTTTGAATAGGAAATATATCCTATACATGATTAAAATTTGGAAATTATATAGGAGTAGACATTGAAAGTCTCTTAATTCCTAAATCTAATGCCTAGGGGAAAATATCTTTAAACCTTGAACTGAAACTATGCTATGAAACTCAGATAACTCACTGCTGCTGTGTTGGAATCGATGTGTAGCTGACCCTCCAGGAGATTTTCAGAGATGACAATTGCAAGGAAGGAGTCGGACCATATTTCCCCTGCAAAGTTGCTAGCAGATTCAGACAGCCAGAGAGGCTCAGCCTTTGGTTGGCAAGGTGTCTCCCTACAGACTCTGCCGCCAACGCTCCCTCTGAAGATCCCATAAGGCCATCACTAAACTGAACAACAGTGTAGCTCAACAAATAGAGAATGCCTCCAGCAAAGTAGTTTTATAAAGAGCTATGGAAAGGAGAGTAAGCTGACAGCAGTTAAACGATATGAGGAGAGAGAAAAGCATCACAATGTGAAACTTAAAACCAATGTTACTGACTTGCTCACATTGAAATTGCAAATGCCTACAACCAGGAGAAGATAAAGTAGATGAATGGGATCTTCAAAGAATCAAATCCATATGCACTTCCAAAAACTTCTCCAAAAGGGTAAAAAGGGAAGCCACAGACTGGGAAAAAGATATTTGGTAATGACATATCAGATAAGGGACTTATATCCAGAATTTATAAAATACTTGAGCACCACACCAAGATAAAGGTTAAACAATTCAATAGAAAAATGGGCACAGGATATGAACAGACACTTCACCGAAGACGACATTCAGATGGCTAACAAGCACATGAAGAAATGTTCAAAATCCCTAGCTCTAAGAGAGATGCAAATCAAAACAACTATG